TGTCTTTCTGCCTGTCTGCATGCCTGTCTGTCTGTCTGTCTGTCTGTCTGTCTGTCTGTCTCTGTCAGCATGCCAGCCTGCCTGTCTGTCTATCTGTCTGTCTGTCGGTCTGTCTGTCTGTCTACCTATCTGTCTGCCCGTCGGTCTGCCTCTCCCTTCTCTCCTTCAAGCTTCCTATCAACCCTTCCTCCATATTCTGTGTCCTGAGAAACAGACTCTCCCCTCCCCCATACCACCCCCCCAAAAAAAAAAGAAAAAGAAAGAAAAACAGAAAAAAAACAGAAAAAAAGAAAGAAAAAAACCAGTATCCCTGCAGCACATCCCAGTACATGTAGTTGAACTCACCAGAGACGATGACCCACAAGCCCCTCCTCTTCTCTGCCGCTGTGTTGTTGGCGACGAACGTGTAGTTCCCCGAGTCCATCTCTTGAGGGGACTCGAACACCAGGTTCTGTCCCGCCACATGTATGCGACCTGACGTCCCCACCACACGAACGTTTCTGTCCAGCCACCTGCAGAGAGAAAGATAGATAGTTCGATAGATAGATAGATAGATAGATAGATAGATAGATAGATAGATAGATAGATAGATAGACAAATAGATAGATAGACAGATAGATAGTTTAAGTTTTAGTAGAGGTTTTTCGGCGCTCGCAACTGCGTAAGGTCATATAAGCGCCAGAAGATTAGAGGCGTTACAAGAGAGTAACAAACATAAAAAAGAAGAAAAGGAGATAGGTACGATAGATGTTTGATAGGAAAGAAGAAGCAAACCACACCAGAGCCCCCGCCAACCACCCACATAGATAGATAGATAGATAGATAGATAGATAGATAGATAGATAGATAGATAGATAGATGGATAGATAGATAGATAGTCGTAAAGAGATAGATAAACAGATTGACAACTACATGTGTACATATAAATCATATGATACATATGATACATATGAACATGATACATTTATGCATACAGACATATCTATATGTGTTTATATATATATCTATTTACAAGTATTTATATACAATGCATTGTATACAATACCCACAGATAAGCAGATAGATCGATATATCGACATATAGAATGGGAAATAAGGTAAAAGCTCTCTGAGAAAGGTGGTGTGATATGGGAAGAGGTAAGGATTCCGAATTTAATGTCCGTCTTTATGTTATGATCAGCCGAGCTTTTGCGTTTAGTTTGAGTAAAAGTTTTACAGCACTTGCAAAACAAAAAGGTTATACAAGTGTCGAGGGTTTGAGGTGTCCCAAGAGAATAACATACAAAGAAAAAAAAAAGAAGGATCGATAAGAACGATAGAGGTAAGTCTAAAAGCCGACGAGATTAAATTTTTTTTAAATAACTCAAAGCAGTTTGTTTGCTTAAGTAGCGAGAAGCACATCGATGCAATAATGGTTACCTAGTGCTGGAAAAAAGTGAGACAGACAGACAGACAGACAGACAGACAGACAGACAGACAGACAGACAGACAGACAGACAGACAGACAGACAGACAGAAGCAACAGAAGGGAAATAGAGAAGTACGACATACCAGAGGCGCCCCCCCCCAACCAACCGTTAATTGAAAGCAGACACAAGACACCTCCCAAAAACCCCACACAAAACAACAACAACAACAACAACAACAACAACAACAACAACAACAATAACCCAACAAAACAAACAAACAAATACACAAAAAACCACAAACAACCAAACAAAACAAAAACAAAATCTAACCCCCCCCTCAGAAAAAACAAAAGCACAAACAAACTCACCGATAGTCTGGGTTTGGCCGTCCCTGGGGTGGGAACACCTTGATCTCAAACCGTTCTTGTACCGGGATCACGATAGGGTAGGACGGCAGCAGACGAGGCTCGAACGACTGCGATGTGATGTCATCCAGGTCTGGAACAAAGTAAGTTACGTTTGTTTTTTGAGTAACGAGAAACATAATACTAATATAGACACAGTAATGATCATCGCATTGGTGATGATGATGGTGATGATGATGATGATGATGATGATGATGATGATGATGATGATGATGATGATGATGATGATGATGATAAATATATA